TCATGTTATATTGGTAATACAATTGTTAAACCAACAATATTGATCCCTGAAATCCTTGGTAATACCAATATTCACTTTGTCTGGTTTTGTTGCAGCACGCCCATATTTAATAATAACGAATTAATTCCAAATTGTTGTTTTCTAGTGGCGATGCTAATACTAAAACAATAATAGATCAATTTCTTGTTGAAAAGAAAAGCTTAGTTGATTTTTCTTCAACAATAATGGATTAACTCCTAAATTTTAGTGGCAAGAGAATATTTCTTACACTTTTGAGAAAAGGCTTGATTTTTGATAAATGATTTTTTTTTTTCATTTTTTTTTTACTTATAAATACAACCTTTGAACGTTTTAAAAAAAATTGGGAGAGTAATCATGAATGATCATGATCAAATAGGTTTATACAACGCAATGAATTTTGTGAAACGAAAATTTTCGTAATAGTATTGTTGTCAATTCTTTCAAAATATTGCCAATCTTCTAAAAGTATGTTGCACTGATTTAGTTGAGTTGTATTCTTTCGTTAAATAAAATAAATTCGTTAATTAATACACATATTATTTATATTACACAAAGGATCAATAATAATAATAAAGATTAATACAATATATGATCTTTATTCCAATTTTGGAAAATCAATAAAATCAATCTAATATCTTTTTTAATAATCTCTAAAAATTTATTATCAATCTATTTATTTGTTTGTATATTAAAATGGAGATTTACTCATCATATTCAATCCTTTCAGACATTTTCTTCTTTATTTTTTATTTATTGAGTATTATTTAATCCGTCTAATTTCATTAATAAAATTATCATGTTTTCAAAAATATATAAAAACCAACTTTTAAGAGCCACGAAATTTTGTAATGCCAAATCTAATTATATAAATTACCCTATAAGTAAAACACTTTTACAATCTTGTCAAAAAATAAAAACAAATTCTTTTCAACAAAACAGGTTTTATTCAAGAGATCCAGATAAGAATGAAAAAGTAGAAACAAAGTTTTTTTTTTCTTTATGATTTTGAAAATTATTATTATCCACTATTACTTACCATATTATTATCTTTAAAACAGGAAACAATTATCAGATTATTGTATAATATTGGTTCCCGAAAAGAAGTTGAACAATACCTTCGTCATTTTTCCTCTGTAGAATCACAAAAGTTTGCAGTCATCAAAGTTGGCGGAGCAGTTCTAACTGATGAATTGGAAACTCTTGCATCCTCACTCAGTTTCCTTAACCGTGTTGGCCTATATCCTATTGTATTACATGGAGCAGGTCCACAAATGAACAAAATGTTAGAAGAAGCAGGTGTAGAACCAAATTACATTGATGGAATACGTGTAACTGATGCTAAAACACTAGAAATTGCCAGAAACATATTTTTAGGCGAAAACCTTAAACTTGTAGAAGCATTGGAACGTCAGGGAACTCGTGCAAGACCAATTCCTAGTGGTGTTTTCATTGCTGATTACTTGGATAAAGATAAATATGGTTATGTAGGAAAAATTACTGGTGTACAAAAAAGAGTTGTTGAAGCTAGTGTAAAAGCTGGTGTATTGCCAATCTTGACTAGTTTGGCCGAAACTCCTTCCGGTCAAATATTAAATGTTAATGCTGATGTGGCCGCTGGTGAATTGGCTAGAGTATTGGAACCTCTCAAAATAATTTACCTAAGTGAAAAACGTGGTTTATTACATGGTGAAACAAATAAAAAAATAGATATTATAAATCTTGATGAGGTGAGCGATTTATGATAAATATATGTGTATATATGTGTGTATATGGTTAAAAATAAATTTATATATATATATATATGTGTGTGTGTTAGGAATATGAAAATTATATGGCGCAACCATGGGTAAAATATGGTACAAGATTAAAGATCAAAGAGATCAAAGAACTTCTTGATCACCTTCCACATTCTTCCTCAGTTGCAATCACATCTGCCAGTGAACTGCATAAGGAGCTTTTCACAGATTTTGGTTCAGGAACTTTGATACGTCGCGGTTATCGTCTTTTTAAATATGATTCATTTGATCAAATGGATTCAACCAAGCTAGATAAATTACTTCAAAGTGGTGAATATGGTTCTAATAATTTCAATTCATACGCTCAACAACTTTCAAATCAATCTTATTCTGTCTACACTGACGAACCATATGAAGTATTAGCCATCATCACCAATAATGATAAATCCAATCAAAATTCAATTCCATCTCTTGAAAAATTCATTGCTACCAAAAATGGTTTCCTAAATAATGTAAATGAGAATGTATGGGCTATGATCCAAAAAGATAATCCTAAATTAACTTGGGTTGTTGATGAACATGATGAAAATAAAACTTGGTATTTCACTAAAGCTAATGGCAGTTATACAAAAGATGGAAAAGTCTTATTCTGGTATGGCATTGATGATGTAGATGTTGTTTCCAAAGTTATTAACAACTTTATTGCTACAAATTCAAGTACAAATGATGTCAGTTCATTTGGAAAAGCTTTCGCTAACAACAATGCTGCTAAACGGTCATACTCTACATTTGCTGGAAACAGAAAAAATTTATTTTCAAAACTCAATTTTCATCCAAACCATAGACAATATTCTACTTCTAAAAATCCTGCAAAAGTTGCTCTGATAGGTGCTCGTGGCTATACTGGTCAAAATCTCATTTCTTTATTAAATACTCATCCTCACTTATCACTTTCACATGTATCTTCTCGAGAACTTGAGGGCCAAAAATTGGATGGATATACAAAAGAAGATATAACATATGTAAATTTAAAAACAGATCAAATTAAAGAAATGCAAAAGAATGGCGAAGTAGACTGCTGGGTTATGGCTTTGCCAAATGGTGTTTGTGCTCCATTTGTACAAGCTGTTAATGAAGATCAAGTAAACAAAAGTTTGATTGTTGACCTTAGTGCTGATTATCGTTTTACTGATGAATGGACATATGGTTTACCTGGTAAGTTTCAATTCATTCATTTTAAAAAAGTATTCAGCAACACTTAATGCTTATATAAATATTCATACATTTTTTGAAATAGAACTTAAAAATCGTCGTGATGCAATTAAAAAGGCTACAAGGATTTCAAATCCTGGTTGCTATGCAACAGGGTCACAACTTTCAATTGCACCATTAATCCCATATATTTCTGAAAATCCTACTGTATTTGGTGTTTCTGGTTATTCAGGAGCTGGCACAAAACCATCCCCCAAAAATGATCCATCTTTTCTTAAAGATAATTTAATTCCATATACTTTAACTGATCATATCCATGAACGAGAAATCTCTTATCATTTGGGAAGAAGTGTCAATTTCATTCCACATGTTGGATCATTCTTTCAGGGTATTGCTTTAACTGTCAACATTCCTTTAACTAAGACTTTCAAATCTTCTGAAATCAAAGAATTATATGAAAAACAATATTCAGGAGAAAGTTTAATTAAGGTGGTTGATGATGTACCACTTGTTAGAGATAATGCTGAAAAACATTTTGTAAGAATAGGTGGTTTTGGAGTACATTCATCTGGCAAAAGAGTTGTTGTAGTTGCTACTATAGATAATCTATTAAAAGGAGCTGCAACACAAGCTTTACAGGTACACATATATAAACATATTAATTTATTTTAATGGATATTCATCATACTTAATTTTTCAATTAACAAAAATTTTTTTTTAACAGAATATAAATTTGGCACTTGGCTATAATGAATTTGAAGGAATTCCTTTAGAATAAACAAAATAATAATGTATTACAATAAATAATATTTTAATATTTATATTTGTGAGAAAAGTATATTTTTAATTAAAAAAAGTTTTACTTTACCCTCCCAATTCAATATCAAGCATTCATTTACCAAACAAAGCATTTTTTCATCTGCATCAATAATAAAACGAGAATGTAGCTAGTAATCAATTACATTCATTATATCAGTGTTCTCAAAATCGCCAGTACAATTGACGCAGTAAAAAAGTGTCAGCCTCAATTGGTTTGGGACTGGACTTATTGGACTTTATTTGGATTTTGTCATACAAAAAAAATTTCTCTCAATTAATTTTATTACTGTAAAGAATGTAATTGCAACTTATTACTCTTTCAATGCCTCAAGGAAGTAATCGATATAAAAAATACTCTCATGTTTTACCTGATAAACCAAATGGTTATAATCACTTGGGCATCTGTATTGCTTGTAAGAGCTCTCAACCTAATATAATATCAATGAATTGAAAATAACTTAACTAATAAAACTTGTCATAATCATTTGTTGAATTGTAAGTCTTTTCGAATTAATTTCTCAAATGAGGAGGAGTGGTTAAATTGGTTCACTGATACTGATACAGAAATTACAATTACAATTGAAAATGAATTTTATAATGATGATGGAGGTTCTATTAATACATCATCTAAAGAAATAAATAATGTACAAAATTTTCTACTCCAAATAAAAAAAGACTCTTGGGTATGAACTTAGTGTATTTATTATTTAATAATAACTTTATTTATAAAAAATATTCAATCATATCTTTCTCGTTCTATAAATGCTGAAAATATGATTGGCTACCCCTTGGAATTGGTCCAGAGCCCAATTGATTTATTGGACTGGACTTATTGGACTAGTCCAATAAGTCCAATTGCCAACACTGAATCAATCATTTATTCATTCATTACAGTGAACCCTCTATAAGTGCACCCCCCTCGGGAACATAGTGCTATTTCTTGTGAGCGTGCATTTATGAAGGGTGTGCATTTATGGAGGGTGATTTTATAAGCTCTATAAGCTTGGGGATGAGATGGGCCGTGCATTTATGGAGGGTATACATAGTGCGTGCACTTAGGGAGGGTTCACTGTATATATATTGGTGATGACTAAATTTTGGGCCCTGAAATTTTTAGTAATACAAATGTTGTAGCATACCCCTATATTAATCTCTCAAATCAAATATAATTATCCGAGGTCCTATTACTGACTTTGAATAAAAAGACAAATAATGAATTTTTTGTATAAACTTAATTTAGAAAACTTTATTAGGCGTTCCAATATTAAATTATTATTATTTTTTTTGTTGATATTACCTACTACAATTTTTATCGTTACAGCAGTGAAACATCAAGACTTTAGAACTTGTACGAATACTTCTTTTTGCCGGCGTAATAGAGCTTACGCTGACAAAATATCGGCTAATCATACATTGTCGCCGTATATAGTACTTAAAGAAACTTTAAGGATTAGTAATGATAATGGTATATTATCAGGAGATTTATTTAACATTAATAATAAAAAATATTTTGTTTTTGAGCTACATTTTTTGTTAAATAATGTTGCAAGATTAAGAATTGATGAAAAGAGCCCTTTGAAACCTCGATATGATCAAGCTAAAATTTGGGCACTTGTAGAACAAGAAAAACCTTTGCGTCATACACTGGAATATTCATTAATTACATCAGATGATAATGATCATAAATTTACAACAATCACATATGGAGAACAGAGAGATCATAAAGTTATAATTCATCATTCACCATTTCACATTCAATTCTTTTTGAATGATGTGCCGATGATCACACTAAATGAACGTGGATTCCTTAATATTGAATATTTAAGGGAAAAAAAAGAAAAGAAAGAAAAAGAAACACCAGTTTTGGTAGATCAAAGTAGTCAAGAAAATATCGTTAAAAATGACAATGATGTTGTTGAAGATGTAAATGACGCTGTTGATGGATCTGATGAAGAAGAAGTTGATGATGATGATGATGATGATGATGAAAGTGATGGATTGTGGTCAGAGTCATTTAACGGAAAAACTGACACAAAACCAAATGGTAACATTTTTAAAGAATATAATGACATTAATTAAATCATAAATCAAAAATATATAATTATAATGATAATGATAATGATATAATGATAATGACAATTAGGACCAGAGTCTATTGGTCTTGATATAAATTTTCCAGGGTTTAGTCATGTTTATGGTATACCAGAACATGCATCAACTCTTTCATTAAAAGAAACACGGTATATTCACCTTTATTGAAAATAAAAAATAAATATACATATATATAATAAGTTTTATTATTGACATAATATTTTGTATTTTCTTTTTATAGAGGAGGCGATGGTGCATATAATGAGCCTTATAGATTATATAATTTAGATGTATTTGAATATGAACTGGATAATCCAATGGCATTGTATGGATCTATCCCTTTTATGATTGCACATCGTAAAGGTAATTCAGCAGCTGTTTTTTGGTTGAATGCTGCAGAAACTTGGATAGACATAACTAAAAGTAAAGAAGAAAATTCTGGATTATCAAGATTTCTTAAATTCGGTAAATCAAATCACTTTCATACGTCCACACAAACACACTGGTTTTCCGAGTCTGGTATAATAGATGTATTTGCATTCCTTGGACCAACAACTTCCGATATATTTCAACAATATGGAGAACTTACCGGATTCACTGCCATGCCAGCCTCATTTGCAATTGGCTATCATCAATGTCGTTGGAATTATATTGATCAAAAAGATGTTGAGGAAGTGGATCAAGGATTTGATACACATGATATTCCATATGATGTTATTTGGTTAGATATTGAACATACTGATTCTAAAAAGTATTTTACATGGGATCTTGTAAAATTTCCAGAACCAGTAAAAATGCAAACAGAAATTGGTCGTAAAGGACGAAAAGTAAGAAAAAAAATTTTTTTTTTGGAGAAGACATAAACATTAATTAGTTAATTAATAATATATATATTTTTTTACAACTATAAATATTATTATAGATGGTAAATATAGTTGATCCTCATTTAAAACGAGATGAAAATTATTATTTATATAAAGAAGCACTTGATCAAGATCTCTTTGTCAAAGATGTTAATGGTAAAGTGTTTGATGCATGGTGTTGGCCAGGTAATAAGTATTATATATTTATTTAATATGATTTTCCTTGAACAATGATTTTTACTAAACTATTATGATTCAATTATATATGGTGTTATCATATAGGTAGTTCATCTTGGCCAGATTTTATTAATCCATTGACTTATTTGTGGTGGGTTAAAAAATTTGGTTATGATCAATACAAAGATTCAACTGAATTTTTATATATATGGAATGACATGAATGAGGTAAATTATCAATTATATATTATAAATTAAACATATTTAAATGTAAAAATAATTTATTATTATTTTGTGAAATTTAGCCATCTGTCTTTAGTGGGCCTGAAATTACAATGCCCAAAGATCTTATTCATTATGGTGGTTGGGAACATCGCAATCTACATAATATTTATGGATTAGTTTATGTAAGTTATTATAATTATTGATAAAATGTATATATAATAGTAGTAACAACAACAACAACAACAACAACAATAATTATAATAATTATATTATTTATTAGCATAGTGCAACTTCAGTGGGTCTTAGTAATAGGACAAATCCTGCTAAGCGTCCATTCGTGCTGTCTCGTGCATTTTTTGCTGGTACTCAACGATATGGTGCTATATGGACAGGTGATAATGCTGCAAGCTGGGATCACCTGGCTATTTCAACACCTATGTTATTGACTATTGGAATTTCTGGTGTACCTTTTTCAGGGGGTAAGAAATTTTTTTAGAGAAGACAGGAAGTGAATAAAAGTGAGAGAAAGAAATAATATTATTTATATGTATATAAATAATTTCTAGCCGATGTTGGAGGATTTTTTGGAAATCCTGCACCTGAACTTTTGGTACGTTGGTATCAAGTAGGTGCATTTCAGCCATTTTTCCGAGCACATGCACATATTGATACCAAACGCCGAGAACCTTGGTTAATGGATGAACCATATACTGGTTATATCCGAGAAGCAATTAGGTCAAGATACACATTATTACCTTTATGGTATACTTTATTTTATGAAGCTAGTATTAAAGGATTGCCTATTATAAGGTAAATTATTTATCTTTTTATGTATGCTATTTTAATTATTTGAGGAAAAAAAGAATGTTTTAAACATTTAAAAAATTTGTTAACATGCCCATGTATATATCTATATATAGACCAATGTTTGTGGTTTTTCCTGATGATGAGGATGCATTTGCAATTGAAGATCAATTCTTTGTTGGAGATTCATTACTTGTAAAACCTATTGTTAAAGAAGGTCAAACATCAACTGAAATATATTTTTCGGAGAATGATGTAAGAAATACATACAAAATATTGATTTTTAATTTTGGTTTGTTGTATTATTATTTATTGAATGAAATATATTGATATATTTTTTTGGAAAAAAATTTTTTCATTAGATTTATTATGACTATTTTACATATGAGAAAATTAAAATAAATTCACATAAAGCTGTTGAAATTGAAGCACCTTTAGATAAAATCCCAGTTTTTATTAAAGGTGGGTCTATTATTCCTCAACGTCAAAGAATTCGTCGTAGTTCAGCTGCCATGATATTAGATCCAATAACACTTGTGATTGGGTTGGATAAAAAGGTAAAAATATTATTACAATAGTTGTTGATAATTATTTATGAATTAATTTTGAAAAATTATATTTTTAGGGTGAAGCAAATGGTACTTTGTACTTGGATGATGGCGAATCATATGATTATAAAAATGGGGACTTTATTTATCAACAATTTAGATTTAAATCTGAAAAATTAACATCAACAGCTATTTCAAATAATAATAATAATAAATATGTAAAATCAATCGGTGATTCAATTTTTGTGGAAAAAATAATATTGTTAGGTTTTAATAATCAAAAAATTCCAACAAAAATATTAGCATATCATAATGATGATTTATCAACAAAATACGCATTAACAATTAGTAGTAGTGAAACTTCTCATCTTGTAATTAAAGTAATGAAATTGTTAATTACAAAAGACTGGACAATTGAATTTATCAAATAAAATAGAATAGACAAGAATCTTTTAAATAAATGTTATTAATTTAAACACAAAAAAAAAGTTTTATTATTATATTAAAAAATATATATCCTGAAATTTTTTTTAAAAAACTAGAGGATATAATTAAGTTTTATACAATGCCTTTTATGATTCTTTTAATGAAACTATATGATCTTGGTATACTGTCGATATAAACAGTAAGTCTTGGTTTAACGGATAGTTTAGGCAATTATAAATTAGGGAAAATTTTCCCAAAAATCCGTTAACGAGTAGTGATGTTAGCCTTGCAATTTGCATGGATATATTGATTGACATGTGGGAATGATTTTTAAAGAATAAAAAAAAATATAGATATTTATTAATGTAAAAAGTACACAACGCAAGTCTCATGTGGGTAACAAATCATATTTTCCAAAAAATCACGATTATTTTTTATCTCCAAGAAATAAATTCAACTGTAATAATTAATCCTAAAACATTATCATAACAATAAATTATTATTACTATTATTAATATAATTATTTTAAAATTGATAATATTTACCCATAATTTTATCAATCCATCCCAACTACACGTAACAACTTTAGAGGTTTCATGTGGATGCCATTCACACCCGATAACAACATTATCATGTGCTTTGAATTTTCTAAATTATGATGATGATTATGATTAATATTTGTTTAATGTATTTATTATTTCATAAACATTTATTTCAACTTACTTGAGCATTTTACAAGATTTCCAATCCTTTTTTTTTAATAAAAGTAAATTAATTATAATCAATTTTATATATATAATAAATTCAATCGTATACAAACAAACACATTACCCAAAAAAACATATTCCCTTCCGAGTCACCAGACATAATGAACCTTCCATCTGGTGAAAAATTAATTTGACAAGCATATCCAGCAACCAAATGGCCTGTGAATCTTTTCTTGCGATGTATCCTAAATCGATCTTTAGCTCCATAAACTACTATTTGGTTATCTAACGATTGACAGGCAAGCCATTTTCCTAATAATCCGCAATTAAAATTTATTATTAATTAACCAACCAACCAATCGTTCGTTCATAATTAATAAATAATAATCATTATGATAGTTACTGTTTGGATGTAAAGTTACTGCTGGCATACTATGCATATGTGGTTCAGCAATATATTTAATTACAACCGGAATATCAAATTCCCATGCTCTTAACGTTTTATCATCTGAAGTTGTAACAAATCTCCTATTATCATCTACAAACGTGATTGTGTTTACAGCTCCCAAATGCTGATCATACTCTTGTGTCACTTCCCCAGTATTAGCATCAAACTAGCAGAAATTAACGAATTAATAAACAAAGAAATACATAAATAATTTGCATGACAACCATTTATACTTACTTGAACTACTTTTTTATCCGAACATCCAGCCAAAAAGATATTTTGCTTATCTTCATCAGGATTAAATTTAACAACATATGGAATTTTACCAGTTGTGTATGACTTAATGCATTGTCCTTTTAATAAACATCATTAGATCATTGATATGAGAGCATAATAATAAGATACAAATTACAAATATTATCATTTACCAGTCTCTGTATCCCATAATTTAATATATTTATCATAACTAGCAGTTAAAAATCGTTTTCCATCATTAGTAAAGGTAATATCTCTAACTGCATTATTATGTCCAATATAAGTTCTTAAACATTTGCGATCATGATAAACATCCCAAATCTAAGGTCAAAATATTACAATTTTTTAGGTAAAAATCACCATTATTCATAAAATCATCATTGTTATTTTAAATAAAATCTCACTTTGACTTTTGTATCCATACTTGCAGATAAAATCAAATGTGCAGACTTTGGAATAAATCTTATAGCACTAACTCCTTTTGTATGCCCAGTCCTAAATTTAAACCATGAATTTAAATTTTTGATTTTCTTGACAATACTTTTTAATTTATTTTTTAAAATAAATAATTTATATATTTACCAAGTATGAATACATCTTTTTGGTATGTAACTTTCTTGTTGGCCCGGTTCACCTAATAAATTGACATCCAAATCCATTGGAACATGCATATAAGTTCTTCCTTGATAATCATGTTCAGATTTACCTATAAAAAAATAAATAAGTAGTTTGTTAAAAATCTAAAATGATCATTAATAAATAAATAATGTATACATATTGTTACAAACCATGAAATATAGTTTTTTCTTGACCAGCTTCTATTTGTTTTTTAGCTTTAACATCAGCTTCAACCTTTGCAGACACAACGCCCTTTTTAAAATAAATAAACCAGTCAGTAAATAGATTATTAAATAATCAATTAATAAAGATGAACATATGTATTCGTTTGTTAAATTACTTCAGGTGGTCCAACAGGATTTCCAATATTTTCACCTTCATAACCAGCCCAAGGCCCCTGATATGCATTATCACCTTCTAATATTGACGAATCTCCTTTAGGTTTTCTTTTGGGTGTATTTGATGATTTAGGCGTGGAATCATACACTGTGACTCCTTTATTAGCTATGGCCTTTTCAATATCTCCTACATATCCTGTACCTGCTACACCACTACCAACTCCTCCGCTAGCTGCACCAGAACCAACAGGATTTCCAATCAATGAAGGATCCAATGCATATCCAAATGATGTAAATGTACGTTGTTGTGTCTTAAATGTTGCCTCGGAATACGCTTGTTCTTCCACATGTCCTGTCAACACATTTTTATTCATTATTTTTGTATTAAATGGATTTTGTGGTCCTGTCATAGGTTTCATCATATCATCATATGGTATGTTAAAGCCAATTTCTGTGTCTGTTGGTTTTGTATAAATCGATCTGGTAAGTTTTAAATCCTAGTATAATTTCACATAAACATATTTATATTTATATTTATATTTATATGTACGTATCAGCCAGTTATCAAGTCAATTTGAAATTGTTCCCTTAAAAAAATATGTATTTATAAATAAAATCAAGGGAAAAAAAATATCGAAAAATTTTTTTAGCTTTCAAAAAGAAAACCTTTTTAATCTTGTTGGAGAATTTATTGTTTTATCATATAACTATTATCATTATCATTAATAACTATGATCATTAATAACTATTTATCATTAATAACTATTATCATTAATAATACCAACCTCTAAAGTAACTTGAGGTGCTAAATCTATCTTCTGTCGTTTAGCAACTTGTAATGAAGTAGAAATGGTTTCATCTTCACTAGAGGAATATTCATTTACAAGATCCATTTCCTTAAATTGTTTTTTTTTAAAAGTGTTAAATTTTTAAAGTTAAAATTTTGAATTGCATCTTTCTACATTATTGTACAACACATTTTGTAGATTTTTTTAGATTTTTTAAATTGGCTAGCTTTCTAATATAAAACTATGGTAAATTTTTCCAAGCCAATAGCTGATGGTCCAATATCGGGAATTGACAAATATACCCTAAATGTTCCTTATAAAAATCGATTAGCAAAAGTTACAGTACGTCCAACACCACAGGAAACTTTTAAAGAACATAAAAAGCTTTTCAAGTATGTTGCTGGTGGCCACCAAAAAGTTGGGGTTAATAGACAATTTTTCAGACAACTTCAAGCAATTATAAAAATAATAATTCCAAAGATTCGTTCAAAAGAACTTTCTATATTGTTTTTACATTCATTATTCTTGGTTTTGAGAACTTGGCTAAGTATTGTTGTAGCAAAATTAGACGGAAGAATTGTTCGTGACCTGGTAAGTCAATTCAATCATAAATTGAATAATTGAATTTAATGTTATTAATAAATGATAATCAAAGATATTTCAATGATTAGGTTGCTGAAAATGGTAAAGAATTTCTTAAAGGTATAGCATATTGGTTTGCTATTGCTATTCCTGCCACTTACACAAACAGTATGGTAAGAATTTATTTTGATCATTAATGAAATTAATTAATTATTTTAATTTTATTAAATCATTTTTTAAAAATATTAATTAAATAATCAAGATTCGTTTTTTGCAATCAAAATTATCAATTGCTTTCAGGACAAGATTGACAAGATATATTCATGATCTTTATTTAAATGATAAAATCAATTATTATAAAATTATTAATTTGGATAATAGAATCGAAGGACCTGATCAGTTGAGTAGTTAAAAAATTTTTGTTTGATATTGCATTTGATAAATAATTTTAAATATTAATATATATAATATTTATATACTTATTAATATTAATCTTATTTATAAACTATTAGATTTATTACTACAGATATAGCACGTTTCTGCGATACTCTTTCATCTCTTTATTCAAATTTAGGCAAACCACTATTAGACATGATTATATTTAATTATCAATTATCTAAAAGTATTGGTGTGACAGGAATGTCAGGATTATTTGGAATGTATATTGCTACAGCTTGGATTCTAAGGAAAGTTTCACCATCCTTTGGAAAATTGGCTGCTCATGAGGCCAAGTTAGAAGGTGACTTCCGTATAGCACATAACAGAATCATAACAAATGCAGAGGAAATTGCTTTTTATAATGGTGCACAATTGGAACATAAAATATTGAACCGAACATATTTGAAACTAATTAAGCACATCAATTCAATCTTTAAAATCAGAATTTTCTATAATATGTTTGAAGATTTTGTTATTAAATATTCTTGGAGTGCATTTGGCCTATTGACAATTGCTGTTCCAGTTTTTTTTCCTGCTTGGGGTGGAAGAGGTGGAAAAACAGAGTTGGAAGGAGTTAGTTCAAATGGAAAAGAAAGGGATCGTACAAAAGCATACATTACAAATAAAAGGTATTTTTACCATCAATTTATTTATCATGAATTCCATATATAGATGTTCAACTAATTATTATTTTTTTGTAAAGGCTTATGTTAACATTGGCTGACGCTGGTGGACGTTTGATGTACTCTTACAAAGAACTTGCAGAACTTGCAGGATTTACTTCAAGGGTATATTCTTTATTGTCAGTTCTTCATTCATTATATGCTAACGAATATATTGGATCAGAAAATCAAGAAACTTATTCGCTTGATAATATCCAAGGAAAAATTACTTATGATCATGAGGGACTCGACTTTCAAGATGTTCCAATTGTCATTCCAGGTAATAAAAAAGGTGGCGAGGAATTGGTTAAGGATTTAAATTTTTCAATAAAACCTGGACAGCATTTATTAATTACTGGTCCAAATGGTGTTGGCAAAACTAGTATTTCAAGAGTTATTGCCACATTATGGCCAATTTTTAGTAAGTTGTTTTTATACACATTTGAAAGATTAACTTTTTTAAAAATTTTTATTAATGTCCCATGTTATTATTTATAGGAGGTACTCTTTCAAGGCCAAATGTTGGTGATATTTTTTATATACCTCAAAAACCATATCTTAGTATCGGTACTCTTCGTGACCAGTAAGTAACAATAAATTACTAATAAATTACGACTATAATTATTGCTATTACAATTATAATATATTGTTTTTAAAAATTTAAAAATATTATTATTAATTTTCAAATAGGATTATATATCCACATTCATATGCAGATATGCTTCAAGCAAAAAGAACTGATGATGAATTGGTGGAAATTTTAAATGCAGTTCATTTATCGCTTATACCTGGGCGTGAAGGTGGCTGGGAAACAAAAAAAGAATGGAAAGATGTTTTTTCTGGAGGAGAAAAACAAAGGGTAATTTTATTTTTGGGAGAAGTTTTTTGGCAACACAATAAAAATGATATTAATAAAAAATACGCTCTTTAATTTAGGTTAGCATCGCTAGACTTTTCTACCATAAACCAAAATTTGCAATCCTTGATGAATGTAAGCAGTCAAAACTTCAATAAGTTTATATATATGTTGATCATTTTTTAATTAAAACTTATAATTATATTATTATTAGGCACCAGCGCTGTAAGTTCTGACGTGGAAGGATTGATGTATCAACATGCAAAAGATATAGGAATCAGTGAGTGTTTGATTTTTTTAAGTGATAAATATATTAATATATTAAATATGAATCATGCTAATGATATATTAAATTTTTAGCTCTTATTACAATATCTCATCGACCATCACTATTCAAATATCACAGTCATTTATTAAAACTTAGTGGTGAGAAAGGTACCTGGACATTTACTACAATTGGAACACCAGAGGAACGTATGTCATTGGATAAGGAAGTCGCTGCATTAGAAAATAAGCTTAAAGATGTTGAAAAAATCAAAGAAAGAATTGATGAAATCAATAAGGAATTGCAATTAAGCACTGCAAAGGATAAAACCGCAGCAGTTTAACGCGATTAGGGGTATAATTTAATTAGATTTTATATAATATAAATATTTTTTGTACAATTATTTAAAAAATAAAAAGCTATTTTTTTATTTTCGCCGTTATTTGTATTCTTTATTAATTTATCCTTACTGCTATCATATTTATCATCTCCTTCATCGCCCTCATCACCTGCCAATTTATATTGAATTCATGAACAACATATCACCACATTGAGATCAAAGATATGGGATGTGTATCAAGACATGATACTTTTTTATCTCTGAAATAAAAAATTTATAATTGATTATATATGTAATAAAGAGTATTGGCATCATCATCGTTTTCTTATATGTTATTGGTCTTATAACCAAGAATAAAAGGTGGTTCATAATAATATTCTCATTTTAGTGACTGTGTTAATCTTTAGGGTGTTTATTAAGTAGTAAATCTTTGCTTATTTTGGTAAGTTGATCTGCAAAAAATGCAACGGTTTATAATTCGCGTTTTTTTGAAAAAAAAAAAACAAAAAAAAAATCGCGTCTTTATTTTTTTTTTTTTGAATTGATACAAAACAATTTTGTATTTAAAAAAAAATATATTTTTATATACATACAATTATACAAAAAAAACTTAAATCATGTCAAATATTATTGCTACTACTACTGATAATTCTAGTGATACTACTAGTAGTATTATTACTAATACCAAACGCGTTAGTAAGCCTAAATCTCAAGTTGAACTGAAACCTACAAGAAGTAGTGCGAGAATACAAAATATAAAGGTGGTAGGCGCTAATAAAGGTAATAAAGTTATTAATGGTATTGATAATATTAATATTAAAGATATGGGCTCAAATTTTAATCAAGACAGTAGTGGTGTGAATGGTAATAATTATAATAATAATAATAATATAATAATTATAATAATAATAATAATATAATTATAAAGAAAATGAAAGTGGCGATATGGAAGTTCTTGATAACAACAACACTGGTACTGAAAACAGCAACGATGATAGTGGTAAGAAAAAACGTGGCAGAAAACCAAAAAATCCTAGCTCAGAAAACGATAATAAATCAGACGAATCTATTAATGCCGACGTAAATATTAACGACTCTGAAAACTTGATTTCAAAAGAACAAATTACAATCTCTACGATTAACACCGCTACTACAGCAACAACAAATGTTAGAGGAAGAAAGAAGAAGATAGTGGATGATAGTAATGACGGTGATAAATCCGATGAAATTAATAAAGATGCCACAAAACCAGTTGTCAAAGAAGCAGAAGAACAAGACAAATCATCTGATACAACTATTACCAAAGTCAAGTCTACTAAGGGAAGAAAGAAAAAGGTAATTGACGACGATAAAGTTGGTAAATCCGATGAAAATAATAAAGATACCACAAAACTAGTCGATAAAGAAGTGGAAGTACAAGATAAATCGTCTGATGCAACAACTATTACTAAAGCTAAACCTACTAGAGGAAGAAAGAAAAAGGTGGTTGACGGTGATAATGACGGCGATAAATCCGATGAAAATAATAAAGATAGCACAAAACTAGTTGATAAAGAGGTGGAAGTACAAGATAAATCATCTGATGCAACAACTATTACTAAAGCTAAACCTACCAGAGGAAGAAAGAAAAAGACATCTGATGAAATTAATAAAAATGTAGAAATAGAATTATCATCATCGACTACCAATAATATCACTACTGTGCCTACCAGGGGAAGAAAGAAAAAATTAACTTATGATGGTGATGAATCTGATATACCTGATGAATCGAATACAAAAAATGCGACAATTGACGAGACAGGAACAAATATTCAAAAAAAACCAATCGATGCTACCACTTCTAGTCCTAACACTAAATCTGCTAAAGGAGAAAAGAAGACAATTAATGATGATATTGGTAAAGCCGATGAAAACAATAAAGATAACTTTAAAATTTTTGAAGTAGAAGTTGAAATGGAATCTTCCGCTAAGACTATCGAAAAAGTTAAATCTACGAAGGGAAGAAAGAAGAAAGTAGTTAATAACGATGGCGATAAATCTGTTGATGTCAATAATACAAACGAATCGAAAGTTCCTGGTTCAGAAATAGAAACACAAAATGAATCATCAGATACTGCAAATGTTGCTATTAAAACCAAAGCCACTAAGGGAAGAAAGAAAAAAGTAGTTGATGAAGGTGACAAGGCAGATAAAATTGATATTAATGAATTGAACGGAGCTAATACAGAAGTAAAAGCACCAAACAAGCCATCAGATATTGATTCTGTCGCTAGCACCAATACTTCAACTAAAATTAAATCAACTAGGGGAAGAAAAAAGAAAGTTGTAGATGATATTGGTGATAACAATGACAGTGATAAGGCTGTTCAAGTAAATACAAGCGAATCTAACGCAGCTACTGACGTAAACATGGAAGTACAAATTGAATCATCGAATGCAACTACTAATAACAACAATACTGATGATACTGTTAAAACCGCCAAAAGAAAAGGATCTAGTGATGATGATGAAGAGAAATCTCAAGAATCTGTAGCTACTAAATCCAAAAGAGGGAGGAAAAAGGCCAAAGTTGATACTGATGAGCCTAAAGATGAACCTAGTAAGTCCGACCTAAATATAGAAGCAAATCCTCAAAAAGAGAATAACAATAATAAAACTGCTAGTAGTGGTAACACCGTCACATCTTCTAATAAAGGAAGAAAAAGAAAATTAGCTGATGTTGATGAGGAGAAAGAGAAGAAGACAAGTGAACCAAGCAACCGACGTGGCAGAAAGATTACAGAGAAACAAATTACAGTATTAGAATCATCTGATGTTACATCGATCACTACTAATTAACTACTTTATCTCTAATTTTTATATATATCTTTATATATTTTATTATACATAGAAATATCTTTTCATATAAACATCTTTATATTATATATATATTTACATAGAAATATCTTTCACATTCTCTTGCTTATATGTTTAATCTATAATCTTCACGTATATCTTTTATATTTACATATATTAATTATATTAGTAAAAATTTAATTACTTTATTAATAAAATTGTTCATTCATCTGTAAGTCGATCTCTATACCATATTAATTTTATGCGCGTATAAATTTTTGGAAATATCAAACGCATGATCACAGATAACGAAATCAAAAAAAAATGGGCCAAGTTCGTTATAAAATCTAATGTAACACGTTGTATACCTCCAATGAAAATCAGGTGCTTCATCGTAGATGCTAGCTAAGAGTGGTATAGATGGTCTGTAATTCACGCTTTCAAAATGGCATTGATCTCGTGAATGAATATGTTGGTTGTCAGATCAAAAGCTGTCGATGAGTCCCGTTTTCTCCTCGTAAAAAATAAATATGTATATTTAAACATCAAGGTAAAACGAGCATATCCCAAAACTGAAGATTAACAAGTCATAAACCGGCTGTAACGGCTGCTAAAATTGTAGTCGTAATCAATAGCCATGAGTTGTTTCAGCAAACGACGTATATAGCATTATCTCTCTCTCTCTGTTTCTGAGCCATGCACTTTTATCAACTCAACTTGTTTATTGAATGCTCGCGTTACTATATCCTTATTCATAGGAAGTTCAGGATCTCTCCAGGTAAGAATCTCATTCTTTACAACGTGTACCAAGAAACTAACTGAATCCAGGCGATCCAGGCATGTCAATGAGATCTTGATAGTGGTTATTGCAACTAATTCTTTATAAATAAATTAATAAATTAAGGTTGTAAATACTATAAGGATTTAATAAATCTTATGAATAAATTTGGGGGGACCTGTATCCTATAAATAAAACTTTTTTAGAACCAGATATTTTGTTATAAAATACTAGCATTTCAAGCCAATGCCGTAACAATCTCAAGTAAAAGATCTAAATTTGTTATATTGAAACAAGATAGTTATGATAATGGATAATCAGATTACAAATTTCACTTGTTAATACATCACGACCATTAAATCCCAAAACCGCAAGAAGTCTACAAACACCAATACCATAGAATGGCGATTAAACCTCAAATCTCACATAACGTAGTTTAAAGCTCATCAACGAATTGTGATTTTTTTAAAACGACAATTACTTTGCCACTAGTGACACTTCCATAATAATCATCATGTAATTCTAAATCTTGTAATTTGATAAAATCAATTATTCCTTTCACTTCAGCATCAAACTTTTTCAATACTTCGATATCGTCTTTTATTGTCCCATTCATAATTAATATATACTCTTAATTTCCATATGTTACCAGCAAAACGTTAGATGTTGAGTATGTGGTAGACAGCAGGAAAAAACACCAGGATATTTTATTATGCCAAACTTCTCTAGAAACCAAGTTGCATCACGTGAAAATTGATTTAGAACTGGACGACGGCTTATAAACAATTTTAATAAATGTTCAGATAATATTCAACAACCATTGACACCAATACGCTCACCTCTTCGAAGATTAAGCCACCACCAAAGTGAAGAACACGTAAATATTTTCCGTAATCGAATGTTGGTCGTGATGAGGTTGAAGAAGGAAGGAAGGTTTAAACAGTTATCATTTAGAATTTGTTTTTCTTCATCCCTCAAACAAGCAATATACACTTCAATTGTTTAACATGTAAAGCATTAGGACTTTTCCAATATATGCAGCTTCTTAACATTAATGTCAATTTGCCAGGATGCAATATATTTTCATAATTTTAATCCACTCAAAAGTTCCTCCACGATAAAGATTTGGTAGGATGATGCAAAAATTATGTCACACGACTTCAAAATTTTAATTTGAAAATTTCAAACATGAATCAATTACAACAAAATGGTACGATCTTTTGTTATA